CCAAAGTGCTGGGATTACAGGCCTGAGCCATCCTGCCTGGCTAAGGATGGCCTTACTAAACAGCCAGTGGAGAAAAGGGTGAGAGCGCTGCGCGTGGAACTGTGCAGAATGGTTTAAACTGAAATTGTGGCTGGGGCTGGGCAGCCTGTTGGCAGCTACTTCCTTTCTAGGCTTATTTTCCAATGAGGAACAGTCATGGAATATTGGACTTTGTGGGGATTTCTGCACTGGACTTCGAAGCTTTAGCTCGGGAAGCCCCAGTGACATCAGCTGTACCCCACAGCACCAGGTGCACGTTACAGGAACTGGGGGTGAAGGGGTGTGGGTCAAACGCCTGCCCAAAGCCCAGCCGGTGTCGTTATGGTCTCCATCCACGATAGCCCACGTGATGGTTCTTAGACTATTTATTAAGACAACAACGGTAGCTCATGCCTGTAATCCCAGCACTGTGGGGGGCCGAGGCCAGGCAGGTCACCTGAGGTCAGAAGTTCAAGACCACCCTGACCAACATGGAGAAACCCTGTCTCTAATAAAAATACAAAATAAGCCAGATGTGGTAGCACATTCCTGTAATCCCAGCTACTCTGGAGGCTGAGGCAGGATAATTGCTTGAACCCAGGATGGGGAGGCTACAGTGAGCTGAGACCCCGCCATTGCACTCCAGCCTGGGCAGCAGAGTGAAACTCTATCTCCAGGAAAAAAAAAAAAAGGCAACAAAAGAGGTGACTCTCAAACAAACCTATGTTTCCAGGGAGAGCCATCTGTGATTCAAGGACATTTTTATAAAATTCCATTGAAAAAAAATTCTTAGGCTTTCATGACATGAAAAAAAAAATTATTTCACAATGATTCCAAATAATTGTGATCTAGGCAGAGTATTGACGGTGGCAAGACCATTGGGCTTTGAAATCATGCTGATGTGGGTTCAAATCCTCCCTCCATGAGCCGTGACTTAGAGCAAATGGCTGAGCTTCAGTGTCCTGATTAATTACTTCACCATGTGGTTGAGAAAATGAAATGACTGGTATTGAGCTTCTGGCACAGGGGCTTGCTCATGACAAGCACTTAATATCTAATGAAATTAATTACTTTCAAAAAGCCTAGACATACCCACATGTACAGAGGAAGAACTCAGCAGTGGTTCAGTTCTCCTAGACTCTATCTCTTTAAGACACAAGTATTTTCTAGAATATAATTGGAAGGCTTGAAAACAATGTTATTCATAAACTCTTTCCGTCAAACACAGGAACAGTAATAGAAATGTATTTCTTCAAACAGCTCTTAGTTTCAGAAAGTCACAGGCATCAAGTTACATTTTTTTGTTTTGATTTGTTTTAGAGATAAGATCTTGCTCTGTTGCCCAGGCTGGATGGAGTGCAGTGGCATGATCATAGCTCACTGCAGCCTTGAACTCCTGGGATCATATGATCCTCCTGCCTCAGTTTCCCAAGTAGCTAGAACTACAGGCACACACCAACCCTGGTTAATTAAAAAACTTTTTTTTTAGACACAAGGTCTCATTATGTTGCCCAGGATGGTCTTGAACTCCTGGCCTAAAGCAATCTTCCTGCCTCATCCTCCTAAAGCACTGGGATTACAGGTGTGAGCCCTGCACCTGGCCCCCCAAAATTATTAAGTGACCACATGGGCTAACAAAACAAGGCACCTGGAAAAAATCACCAGTCCTGCTGCAAATCAGACCCTTTATGAGAATCCAGATGCCTTCCCCCACCAATTAAATCAGAATTTTCAGCGATGGGGTCTGACTTTTGTACGTTTTCGTTTCTCTAGGCTGGAGGAGCACTAGCCTCTTGTTGGAAGCCTCCCTACCTTCCTCTCCCACACCTTTATCACAAACATCATTGAGAGAGACAAAAGAACATACTATATACACAACTAAGAAGGCGAGAACAAAGATTATCGATCTCCTGGTCTACTCCACTCACCAATATTTATATTTCCAAGTATATTTCAAAAATTTAAAAACTGGTTCCCTGGACTGGGCAACATAGCAAGACCCCACTTCTATTAAAAACTTAGCCGGGTACAGTGGTGCACACCTGTGGTCCCAGGTGCTCAGGAGGCTGAGGCAGGAGGATCGCCTGAGCCCAGGAAGTTGAGGTTGCATTAAGTTGAGCTATGATTAAGCCACTGCACTCCATCCTGAGCCACAGAGTGAGACTCTTATCTCAAAAAAATAAAAATAAAAATTGGTTCCCATTGAGTTAAACTACAATGTTAAACATAAACTTTATGTTGTTGGACCCAAATTACAGTGTCAGAAGGACTCTAGACAAGGAGGCCATCTCCAGCAGGGGAATGTTCTAGCTTTTCTCAGCTTGAGTCAACACCAGTCAACATGTGAGGTCCCTTCAAAGTAACCCAGAGCACCTCCCCCCAACCTGTTTTTCCTTGTATATCTTGAAGGTTTGGCAAGGTTGAAAAGCCAACACCGCATGCATACAACAAAAAGTTCACTTCTCCATCAAACCTTTGCTGAGACTTATATGAAGAACAAACTGAAGCAGAAAGTGAATTTTAACAGAGAGACGTATTATCTAATAATGCAAACATACTAGCAACATGCTAAAGTCTATTTTTTTTAAATGCAAACAATTTACAGTCCTTGACCTTGCCCTGCTTGGATGCAAATCAAAAGCAGCCAGTGACTTTCACACAATTAATTATTGTCTTAAACCAGAGGTTTCCAGTTCAACATTAATAACTGACTTCCTTGTGTTACCAATTCCAAAAGCTTTCAGAGCTCTAACTCACCTGGGAAGGGAGGAAACAGGAATCATTCCGCCAGGTTCTCAGAAGCCTCGCAAACCTTGCCATGTGGAACCTTCCAGCTCCACACCCAGCACGCGGGTACTGACTTTGCAGAGGCCAGCTCCTCAGTGTTGAATGCTCACGTTCCTCTTCGTGGCTGGAAACTTCAATATCCACTCAGACATTCCCTCCACTGGGAAATTTCTTCTTCCTGGGCTGACCTAGCTGTTGCTGCCTTTTTGTTCCCATTACACGGACGGTGGGTGCACACGGGTCTGCAGACCATGGCTGGAGATGCCTGTTTTCCTATAGCTCCCAAGCTAGGAGTGGTTTTTACATTTGCTAAATGCTTAGGAGAAGAAAAATTCATGACACATGAAAATTATATTAAATGCAAATCTCAGTGGCCATAAATTAACAAAGTCTTATTGGAACATAACCTCACCTGTTCCTGTACATTTCGCCCATGGCTGTTTTCTGTGCAATGAGTTGTTGAGCAGTTCCCACGGAGAACAGATGACCGTAAACCCCCAAATATTTATCACCTGACCCTTCGCAGAAAGTTTGCCAACCCCTGACCTAAAAGGCTAAAACGGCCTTTTATGCATCTTTGCATACCGAGTGCAGGAATATAGGAGACTTGACACGAGAAAAAAGCAACTATCACATAGCTAAGAGTTCATCAAAACGAGTTGCCTCATTTCTAAAGAATCAGTGATTACATTTTCCGAGGGTCACAGACCACTTATGAAGCTGCCCTGTGTTCTAAGTGTCACCACATGACTAAAGTTCAATATTTATACATATACATATTGAATATGTATACATAGTATATATATTGAACTTTAGTCATGTGGTGACACTATGTATATACAACATACGTGTATATATACTATACATATTCAATATATATATACATATATTCATATATATGTACATATTGAATTATATAGACATTTAAAACGCAAATAATTGTGTTTTGAATTATTCCTGGAAACTTGGAGCTCACTGCTCCCAGTGCTGCACAGGGAGAGAAGCGTGAAAATCTAAATGGTGTAGAACAATTATCCCTTCACTTCTCCTTTGGCTAAAGGGAGCCACTGTTGTTTAGAGGAAGATCCCAAAGTTACCAGAGGGCAAAACGACCATGCCTCCTCCTCCTGAAAGCCTGTTTGCTGACCACAAAATGCAGAATGATAAACCCTTTCCAACATAGATAAGGAAAGGAAGCTGTATTTTCAAGCAAACCTCGGGTCTCCTCTCCCTAACCTTTTATGAAATGCAGTTGCTAGTCTTGAGATTCTGGCTGAATGCATTCTTTCTTGCCCATTTAGTTAAAAGCGTCTCTACTAAAAACAGAAAAATTAGCCGGGCTTGGTGGCGCACGCTTGTAATCCCAGCTACTTGGGAGGCTGAGGTGAGAGGATCACTTGAACCCTGCAGGCAGAGGTTGGAGTGAGCGGAGATCGCACCACTGCACTCCAGCTTGGGCGACAGAGCCAGACTCCCTCTCAAAAAAAAGAGCACACTTGGGGCTTCCTTCTTCGGACTCTGGGGGATCCCACAGAGCATCCTGACGGTCCCCCACTACCTGAGCCTGGGCTGGGAGCCAGTGCGCCATTAGGGAGTCTTCCCGAAGCCCTGGCCTCACCCCCGAGTTCCAGATGTCTCGGGGTCTAGAAATACGGGCTGAGGGGGGATGAAGGAGGCTCCCCTCGACGGTCACAGGGCTTGGCAGAATGCAGCCATGACCAGCACGCCATGTTCTCCGAAGAAATACTCTGCTAAGACCCCTTTGGGGTCTCGGCTGACACAGCAGCCAGTCTCTCAGCCCTCCACGGTGCTCGGAGTGGCGGCGCAGCTCCAGGCTGGGGGTGGGGCCCAGAGCTCAAGGCAGGCAGCGGACAGACGGATGGGCGGCCCCTCCCGCAGACAATGGTTGCTATGGGGACCCCGGCAAGCGCCAAGGGCAAGGGCAGCCCAAGGACGTCCACAGATCTGCGGCCCGGACACAGAAAGGACACTCGCAGAAAAATTTTTAACAATCTTTTATTACCAAACCCCGCGTAGGACCAACTCTAACCTGACTAACAGCAAAAATAGTATCACTAACAAGATAAAGGATGGAGGTGTAGACCCAATATTCTCTCTTAAAAAAAGGATTGGGAGGAAAAAAATATATACATATATACACACACACACACACATATATATATATGTATCTGCGTGAGCACTTCTTAAAAAACTAAAACATTTCAGTATTGCAGAAAAAAATATCCCAAAGTGATTTCAGTTGGTAAGAAAACAGCACTTGACAGTCCGTGGTGCCCTAAAAACCCCAACTCGAGATAACCTGAGGAGAAAATCATCCCGACCCCATAAAGACAAAATTCCTTCTTCTCTTCCTTGTTCAAATTCCACTGCTTATTCCACCAACACTCAAGGGACAAGGCCCAGCTTACTGAGGGCTCACAGCAATCCTAGCATCTTCCTCTACTACAATCAGGAAATTGAGCCCTAATTTCTGGGCCAGATTCTGGAAACTTGCAAAACATCCCTATGCTTTGAGGGGCCCGAAGACTCCTTCAAAGATCAAGGGGGCAGTGGAACAGGCAAAGACTGGCATGCTTGCCCTGCAGGGCTGAGACAAGAGGACCTTTCTAAGCAATAACACCCCAACACCTGTCACTAAAACAGGCAAAACTACGAACAGCAGGCACCAAACTAGGACTGTGCCTAAAAGGTGCACATCTCCCGTCCACCGTAAAAGGCAAGGGAGACAAAGACAGCCAACTGAGTATTTGACCTCATCTGTCTTCTGACAAGTTGGCGTACTTTAGGCTGAAGCCATGTTGCAGAGAAAGACATTTGGTCAAAAGGTAGCCTTTGCTGTTTGTGGCTGAATACAGCTGCCATTCCTGGGCAGCCTGTTCGTGGCTGCTTTTTGGAAACTTTTCCTCCTTATGCAGAGTACCTAAGAAATAACAGGAAAATTTTCAATGGAACTTCGTAACTGACAAAAACGTTAACAGTAGCTTCTCAAAAGAAACCAGTGGAGACAGGCCACCCCTCAGCTGCTGATCACAGCTCCTTCCAGTCGATGGGCTTCTTGCCAGACTTCCGCAGCAGCTCATTAGTCTTAGAAAAGTGTCTACATCCAAAGAACCCTCTATACACTGACAACGGGGAGGGATGAGCCGTCTGTAGGACATGGTGCCGCTTCTGAAAAAGATCAAGAATAAAAGGTGGTAGACTTGGGACTTTTTTTTTTTTTTTAAAAGGACTGTGGCTGCGGCACTTTAAGACCCTATGCAATTCCCCTTTGCCCTCTGTAAATTCTCTCACTTCCCTAAGTGGAGCACTTAGTATTTGCATTAGAGCATAAGTCCATCTGTTGAGCAGCTACCTACCTTTGCTAGGCTCTGAGAAAGAGGACCAGCCTCGGCCTTCAAATGGGCAATTATGCAATTTTCGTGTGCTCTTACCGTATAGCCAGCAATTTCCATTGCTAAGATTGTATTTGCTAAAGGACATCATGATGCATACATACACAGATAACTACTCAACTTATTAATACCATGGACGGGGTTAACACCATGGAAAACCCATCCTAAGTAGAACATATCCTAAGTCCAAGATGCATTTACGACATATAACCTGCTGACAATCACAGCTTAACCTACCCTACCTTAAATATGCTCAGAACACTTAACGTCAGCCTGCAGTTGGGCAAAACAAAGCTTATTTTATAATATAGTGTTGAGTACTTCATGTAACTCACTGAACACTGTACTGAAAGTGAACAATAGAATGGGGCCCGTCATGGTGGCTCACACCTGCAATCCCAGTGCTTTGGGAGGCCAAGGTGGGAGGACTGCATGGGGCCAGTTCACAACCAGCCTGGGCAACATGGCAAGACCCCATCTCTACCACAAAATTTAAAAGTTAGCCCAGTACGATGACGTGCACCTGTAGTCCTAGCTACACAGGAGACAAAGGTGGGAGGATTACTTGAGCCCAGGAGTTCGAGGCTGCAGAACGCTATTTATAATCATGCCACTGCACTCCAGCCTAGGTGACAGGGGAAGGTCTTTTTTGAGATGAGTTCTTACTCTGTCACCCAGGATAGAGTGTAGTGGCATGATCGTGGCTCACTGCAGCCTCCGCCTCCCAGGCTCCAATGATTCTCCCACCTCAGCCTCCTGAGTAGCTGGAATCACACAGGTGTGTGCCACCACGCCAGGCTAATTTTTTGTTTTTTAGAGACAGGGTCTCTCTATGTTGCCCAGGCTGTTCCCAAACTCCTGAGTTCAAGTGATCCGCCCACCTTGGCTTCTCAAAGTTCTGGGATTACAAACATGAGCCACTGCTCCAAGCCAAGAGATCTTAACTCTTAAAGAAAAAAAAAAAAAAAAAAGTAAAAAAAAAGTATGAGTGCTCCAAGTATGGTTTTATGCACCAGTGTAAATCCAAAAAAAAAAAAATAATAAAGTCAAACTTCATTATGCAGGGACCAGGTGTACCTACACAAATAGGTACAGATGAAGGGACTCACTGATGCACTCCCTTATGTCAGCTAAAACCTAGTATAAATCCAGTGTTACAGAACTGGATATATTTTTCTAAAGTTCTTACAGTGTAACACCACATAACTCCTAGAAAAACATGTGAAAGATAAATATACTGAAATGAGATGACCTCCAAAATTTATCAAGTAAACAAAATGCAAATAATTTTTTTAAAAAAACTTTAGAAAAAAACTCAAGACACTGTATTTTGTATTTCCTTTCAGGGAAAGAAACAGTGGAAGCCATTTACTTTCCAATTTGTGCCTTTCTGAACTGGTTGAAGAGTCTTGCAGCTCCTAAGGAAGAATTAAAAACAAAAAACAAAAAACAAAAAATTTCACCACAAAAGGAATAGTTAGCAGCCAGATGTGGCAGCTCACGCCTATAATCCCAGCACTTTGGGAGGCTGAAGCAGGAGGATCATTTTAAGTCCAGGAATTCAAGACCAGCCTGGGCAACATGGGGAAACCCTGTCTCTACAAAAAGCACAAAAATTAGCCAGCATGGTGGTGCATGCCTGTGGTCCCAGCTACTCAGGAGGCTAAGGTGGGAGGACTGCTTGAGCCTAGGAGGTCAAGGCTGCAGTGAGCTCGGATTGGGCCAGTGCGCTCCAGCCTGGGTGAGCAAGACCCTGTTTCAAAAGAAAAAAAAGCAATAGTCATACCTGACCTAATGACAGGGATACATTCTGAGAAGTGTGCTGTTAGGCAGTTTCACTGCTATGTGTACACCATAGGGTGTCTGTACACAAACCCAGGCGGGATAATCTATTACACTAGGCTATATGGTGTAGCCTGTTGCTCCTGGGCCACAAACCTGTACAGCTCGTTACTGTACTGAATCCTGTAAGCAACTGTGACACAATGGTAGGTACTCGTGTATCTAAATGTGGAAAACATGCAGTAAATATACAATACTATAATCTCATGGGACCACCATCATATATGATGTTGCAGTTTATGACTGAAACATCATTATATGGCATATGACTACTTTGGTTTTTTTTAAAATGTCAACTATAGTTATTTCAACAGGGGGATATAGATCATTTTTGCTTTCCTCTTAATTCTTTTCTGTATATAAAAACTAACAAACAGGCCGGGCGTGGTGGCTCAAGCCTGTAATCCCAGCACATTGGGAGGCCGAGGCGGGTGAATCACGAGGTCAATAGATCGAGACCATCCTGGTCAATATGGTGAAAGCCCATTTCTACTAAAAAAAAATACAAAAAATTAGCTGGGCGTGGTGGCGCATGCCTGTAATCCCAGCTATTCAGGAGGCTGAGGCAGGAGAATTGCCTGAACCCAGGAGGAGGAGGTTGCGGTGAGCCAAGATCGCGCCATTGCACTCCAGCCTGGGTAACAAAAAAAACAAAAAAACAAAAACAAAAAAACAAAAACAAACAAAAAAAAACCTAACTAACAAATCACTGTTTCTTAAAACACTGCTGCCTTCGAGGGGTCGGTCCCGGAGAGATGATGCAGGGTGATTAAAGCCGGGCAGCCCAGTGTGGTGAAGGACACAGAGCCTGGAGCCTGAATGCCTGGGGTCGAGGCCTATCTCTGCCAGTCAGTAGCTGTACCACAGGGAAGTTGCTGCAACTCAGCTTCAGTTTTCATCTGTAGACTGGGAATAACAATAGCACCCAGCTTATGAAGTTACTGTGACCAATCAAAGGAGGATCACAAGTGCCGAGTGTTCTTAGAAGTCATGGACGTCAAACACTGAACACACACGCAAGCAGAACAGGCCCCTGTAAATGTCAGCTTTGCTGAGCTTCGAAGAATCCCAGAAGAAAATGACCTCCACACCGTGGGCAGAGCAAGCAGGATATGCAAAAGCAGGGAAGTGGGGCACAGTGAAAAAGTAAAGGGGAATGGGTCAGCCTAGCAATCAGAGTGCAAACAGGGAGAAAGTTAAGGCTGGGGGCCACCCCTGCCGCCGAAATCAGCTCTTCAGCCACTGAACCCTCCAGGGAAGATGAGGTGAGGGCCTGAATGAAGGCAAAGGTGGTCAGGCGGGGACAGACTTGGAGGGGGAAGAAATAACACAGGTATGAACGACTGATTGTATATGGGAAGGGGGTGAAAAAAGGACAGAAGAGGGTAGAAAGGTAGGCAGGTGTCAGTAATGGCATCAGATTTCTGCTTGGACAACCGGGCAGATGGTGGTGCTTTTCGCTGCTAGGGAGTACAGAGAAGCAAGTTTAGTGAGGCATGGATGAGGAAAGGAGAAATTTTGTCTGGAAAATGTTGAATTTGGTATGTTGATAATAAGAAGGCACACTATAGATCAGGAGAGACACTGGGCTGGAGATATGCAACTTGCCTTTAATGATCAAGCTACTTTAACAACTGTTTGCTTTCAGACCAAAGCATGATTAAAGACTACCAATATACTGAGTAACAACAACACTGGCCATAAACCTCCCTAGGAGACAGAGATTAGCAATTACTCCCACGCACACTTCTTACATACCTAGATAATCAGATCTTACCAGTTCATACCCATCAGATCTTAGGTCACTCATACAAGTGTATGCCCACCTCAAAGCCTTTGAGTCAAGTAAGATACTGCATGCAAAGTGCTCAACCTGGCCAGGTGCGGTGGCTCATGCCTGTAATTCCAGCACTTTAGTAGGAGGCCGAGGTGGGTGGATCACTTGAGGTCAGGAGTTCAAGACCAAACTTGCCAACATGGTGAAACCCCTCTCTATTGCCTACAGCACCAGCTGCACTCAATCACAAGCTGGCCAGTTGCTTTCCTCACTCATCACTCCTACAATTTGCCTAGATTCTTCTCAGTTTTCAATGGGAAACGCTTATAAACAGGCCTAAGGGAAAATATATTCGGGATTCCTAGAACTCTTTATTTTGTTTCAAAGTGTTTAAAAAAAAAAAAAAAAAAAGACATACCCTATCAATGGCACTGCCCTTCTTCTGAGCATAAGAGCCCCAGAGCAAGAATACAAGGCCATTCGTGTTCTGATTTAGCCAGGACACAACTGCATCGGTGAATTGCTCCCAGCCTCTCTCCTTATGAGAGTTGGCCTGATGTGCCCGAACCGTGAGGACAGCGTTGAGTAGCAGAACACCTACACGCAGGAGAGAAATAGGTTAAATGTAGGCTCAGGCAAATCAGCCCCAAACCCAGCAATAGGGGCTAAATTCATGATGAAACCCGTGCTTGATGGGATCCAGTGTAGCTGAATGAAATAGGCCATACGGCCAGCAGTGACCTCTGCACAGGATTAGAGAGTTTTATTCTCACCACTGCCCTTTCAGCTTCTTCCAAGTTTACTGCAGTGAACATGCCTTATATCCTTTGTCAAGAGGGATTGTCCTAAAAAATATCCTAAGTGATATTAAATAACTCAGAACACAAAAAGTAGGCCAAAACATTTCATAGAAATAAAAATCAAATAGAAAGAAATCAGAGTAAACATTCTTTCCTCATCCTGGTTGTAGACAGTTTAAAAAAAAAAAAAAAAAAAGGTACATAAGCAGAAAAAAGGCATCTGTAAAGAAGTAAGAAAAAAACATGAAAAAATTAAAAGAAAAATCTCCCAGATAGGTATTAACAACCCAAATGTCAAAATGAACAGACTGTGGCCACCTTCAGAGTAGTCAAAAGTGAAATGGATACATTTAAAATATTAACAAGGAACAAATCTTTGTCTTGCAAACTGTAATTAACATAAGTGGCCAGGCACTTGGCACCTGGGAGGGTCTCAAGGCCAGGAGTTCAAGATTGGCTTGGGCAACATAGTAGCCATCTCTACACAATAATTTAAAAATCAGCCAGGCACAGTGGTGTGCTCCTGTGGTCCCAGTTACCTGGGAGGCTGAGGTGAGAGGATCACTTCAGCCTGGGAGGTTGAGGCTACAGTGAGTCATGATCATACTACTGCACTTCAGCCTGGGTGACAGACTGAGACCTGTCTCAAAAACAGGAAAAAAAAAAAAAAGAAGAAGAAAGAAGGAAGTAAAGAAAGAAAAGAAAGCAAGCAAACACTGGCTGCAGGATAAAACAGATTTTTTTTTTCATCTATAAATTAGTCATTTATTAGCATTCTCTAGTTCTTCATTATAACCCTTTAAAAAGATAAACAAGCAAGACAGAAAAGACTGTCAGTATTAGTCTAAAAAACATCTGGCAGGCCAGGAGTGGTGGTTCACATCTGTAATCCCAGCACTTTGGGAGGCTGAGGCAGGTGGATGACCTGAGGTTAGGAGTTCGAGACCAGCCTGGCCAACACAATAAAACCCTGTCTCTACTAAAAATACCCCAAAAAAAAAAAAAAGAAAAAAAAAAAAATTGGCCAGCCATGGTGATTCATGCCTGTAGTTCCAGCTACTTAGGAGGCTGAAGCCTAAGAATCGCTTGAACTGGGAGGCAGAGATTGCAGTGAGCCAAGATCACACCACTGCAATATATCTAGCCTAGGCAAGAGAGTGAGACTCAGTCTCAAAAGAAGATAAAACAAAAACAAACAGACAAAAAAGATCTAGCAGTAACTGGCTTACCTTGCTTGGCCCACCCAGATAAATCTCCATGGCCAGGATGGACAAAACCCTCTATGTCTGTAGACAGCTCTTTATAAATGTTCTCCAAACTGAAAGCAAGCCACGAGAAAAACAACAATCAGAATCTTAGGCATAATTTGAAAGTTCAGTAACGTCTAAGACACATGTGAAAAGGTGAGAAGTTATAGCCAGCCCTTGGAAGGCACACTGGCACATGTGGCACTGATAAATGAGATCATCACCACCAGTCCTCCTTCTAACAGGTCAATCTGCCAAAGACCTTTACTCTAGTCCATGCTTGGAAGAGCGCTTTGGAAAACCTAAGTAAATCAACCCAATAGTTACACCCCTAACCCCCACTGCTGCTCAGTGACAGTTTTCTGTCCTTAGTGTATTTACGTATATATATTACACACCAAATTCTCCAAAGCATTTTTCCTTTCTTTCGAGACAGAGTCTCGCTCTGTCACCCAGGCTAGAGTATAGTGGCGCGATCTTGGCTCACTGCAACCTCCACCTCCCAGGTTCAAGCGATTCTCGTGCCTCAGTCTCCCGAGTAGCTGGGATTACGGGTGCCTGCCACCGCACCCTGCTAATTTTTGTATTTTTAGTAGAGATGGAGTTTCACCATGTCGGCCAGCCTGGTCTCCAACTCCTGACCTCATGATCCGCGCGCCTCAGCTTCCCAAAGTGCTGGGATTACAGGGGTGAGCCACTGCACCCAGCCCAAAGCCGTGGTTCTTAACCAGGAGTGATTTTACCCACTCCAAAGGACTTTTCGCAGTATGTGTACATTTTCCATTGTCATGAGTTGGGGGTTGCTCCTGGCATCCAGCGGTATAGGCCAAGGATGCAGCTCAAGATCCCGCAATAGCACAAGACTCCTCCTCCTCCACAATGAAGAATGACTCAGCTTCAGTGTCGTGGTGCTGAGGTTGAGAAATCCTCCTCTGAGGCTGGTGAAAAGTGCCTGAGATAGTCCCACTTGTCATATGCTAAGTACACATCTGAAAGGAATCACGAATGGACTGCAGTCATCCGTAAGGCAACCGTACCTGGGCGGAGGCGGAACAGGCCTTTGAACACTGAAGCAGAGCCCATGAGCTTGATTAGGTCCATGATATGGATCCTGTCCCAGGATGACAACCTTCACCTGTGAACCACCAAGGGTCAGGAATTAAATATTGTAATACAGGCAGCATAGACCTTGCCTTAAACATAAACAAAACAAACGAAAGACTTCTATGCCACAGATTGCTAACAGCAGAGTTGCTAGTCAAAGGATAAGCGTATTTTAAACTTTCAAAGATATGTACCTAGCTGCTTTTTTAATTTTTTGAGACAGGGTTTTGCTTTGTCGCCCAGGCTGAAGTGCAGTGGTGTGATCATAGCTTATGGCAGCCTCACCTTCCTGGGCTCAAGTGGTCCTCTCACCTGAGCCTCCAGAGTAGCTGGGACCACAGGAGCGCACCACGACACCTACCTAATTTAAAAAAATTCTTTTTTGTAGAGACAGGGCCTCCCTTCTGTTGCTGAGGCTAGTCTCAAACTGCTGAGATCAAGCAATTCTCCCTCCTAGGCTTCCCAAAATGCTGGGATTACAGGCATGAGCCACTGTGCCTGACCCCTAGTTACTTTTCAACAAGTTAAAGCAATTCAGATTTCTCCCCAGCAGCATATGAGGGTGTCTGCTCCCCTATATCCTCTAATAGGCAAAGCCAGAAGAGAACGAGGTCAGATGGAAAGGGCTGTGGGAATAGGTGGCAAGAGACAATGAAATGAGGTCCCTATCACAGGCAGTATTGCAACACAGGCCAGCTCATCCTTTCCATCCAGTGCAAATCTAGTCTTCATTCTCAAGCTTCTGCTCGTTGTGTTCTTAGACTCTTCCTCTACAGCTGACGAGCTCTATCCTTCAGAATCCAGCTCCAGATGTTCCCATGCCCAGGAGACTTTTAGGGACCACTTGTCCTTCCCCTTGGTACTCACACCATGCCAATCTATTCTCTTGTGAAACAACCCGTCCCTGCAGGGCAGCTTTTGGGCCCAGAGCTTCTGGCCCTAGGGGGAGGATCCTGGGTGAGCCACCTAAACTCCCACACTCTCCCAGTGCTGGTGTGTCAAGAAGCCCCACTGGCCCATCTGATCCTCACAGGTTTGAAACTAGTTTTTGAGTCTTCTCTCAAAATATTCGGTTAATACTGATCACTGGTATTCAGAATAGGGCATTCAAACAAGAAGCAAACTAGTACTGATTTTAATGAAATTCAATTTAGTTTCTAAACCAAAGAGCTAGAGTCCAAGTTCATGTTCTAAAATTAAGCTTCCAAGATTTTCTAAGTATTAGGCGTGGCTCCCTTATCAAGATGGTTTACTCAACTATTTCACTTCTACTTCATTTCACAGGTATTCATTAAATCACAAGATTCTTGCCCCAGTTTACAAAATGGGGGAGGAAAACAGGTAAGAAACCTAAAAGTCCAGTATCAGCAGGTGCTAAATGCATCATAGGAAAACCAGATCATAGAGGTAGCAGGCAACAGGATTCAAGGAGGCACCACAGAGGCATCCACTTGATTTTTAAGAGACAGAAGTGTCGGGAGGGGTTTGTCGCACTGACCAGCTCTGGAGTGGGAGCTGGAGGTAGGGCTGAAAGGTAGGACACAGCCCTATTTAAAGAGGATTGCTCTGCTTTCATTGTTCAACAGTAAAGAGCCAGTTTTGTTTTTTTTTTTTTTTTTTGAGACCAGAGTCTGGCTCTGTTGCCTAGGCTGGAGTGCAGTGGTGTCATCTGGGGCACACTGCAACCTCCACCTCCAGGGCTCACATGGTTCTCCCACCTCAACCTGAAGAACAGCTGGGATTATAGGCATGCCCAATCATGTTTGGCTAATTTTTGTATTCTAGGAGAGACCGGGTTTCACCATGTTGGCCAGGCTGGTCTTGATCTCCTGACTTCAACTGACCTTCCCACCTTGGCGTCCCGAAGTGCTGGGATTACAGGCACGAGCCACCACGCCCGGCCCCACAGACTTCTGAACATGAGACTGATGAGAGCCACCAAGCAGCAACTGTTAGTAAGATGAACTAAAGCAAAGGGATCTGTTAACAGAACCATAAAACCGTTCAGGCCAAAAGTAAAGTTTTTGAAAGTGCTAACTTTAAGACAGTGTGGTCAGGTCAAGGTGGGTTCGACTATAGCTGCAAAACATTTAACTGTTTTGTGTGTCAGTTTGAACTTCATTGGCACCAACATAATATGTAACACTGCGAGAGGTTTCCAGATTTAAAAAAAATAGGAAAAATAAGAGTATAGGATGTACATATTTTTCCTTTTTGCTGTATAAATAGCACGTGTTAAATATTAAAAAGAGTAAATACAGGCTGAAATACAGTCAGCCAAACCTCACCAATTTCAGTGTTTTATTTACTGAATGGTGGACTGTGGCTTAACTCCGGTGTCCCTAAGTTAAAAATACTATTTGACGCCTTCTCCCCAATAAAAATCAACAACTTATACTTACATCTCTTATGTCACACATCTGGGTCCAGGTGAAGACTTGGTGTTGGGGTGGATAAACCGTGTAATGCTTTCTTTCTTCTGCAACAAATCCCATTAGCTGATTTAAAGATAAACTAGACTTAAAATCAGATTCTCATTGGAAACCGTAAGAATTCATAAGAAAGCTTCTAAGGCATGTTATTTGAAACATCGTGTTTTATATCCAAATTCTTTTTAAAAAACAACAACAAATTAAAACAGTGCCCGCGCCTCACCTAAGTGGTTCAATCAGGTCAATTCCCTGCCTCTTTCTCTGGGCTGGGTCCTGACAGTACCACTCCTCCCCGTTTCTCTTTAAACGTCAAGCCAGGTTTCATTCAGGATGGTTGGTGGTTTTACCATGCCAGCCTTTCCTGGACAGCAGACTATGTGGCTAAAATGAAGCCACGATACCATCTCACCGGTCATTAACAACTTTAACCAATATAAAGGTGCAGATTAAAACATCACGGCTTTCTTAAACCCCTATGTGAGTAAGGACGTTGAAGGGGGTACAACCTGAGCCTACGGAAACGTGTACTTGGCTGGCTACACTAACAAGACAAAGGGCCGGCAGCTTCCACATTTACCACTTATGGAAGGTGTATTTCCATATTCACCTTGATAAAATACGGTTTCCCGAACTCCCCGCTGAGGTGCTTCTTCCAGCTCTCCCCAAAGCCCACGGGCACGTTGCGGGCCGCGAGTCTGAGGAGGGCCGCGGCCTTGTTTCTCTGGATCCGGTCCAACTGCTCCGCACTCAGCGGCGAGGAGGGTGGCGTCCCGGGCTCATCCTGCTCGGCCCGGGCCTTCTTGGCGGGGCTGGCCTGCAATGAGTCCCCGCAGAGGCTGCTCCAGAACTGTAGCGGCCCCTTCCCAGGCGTCCGCAGCTTCCGGCCCAACCCCCACAGCCCAAGGCAGAAGATGCCCATTTGTGGAGCAGGGCTGAGAAAAACCGGACAATAGGAGGCCAGGGCTAGGCCTGCTCCGGGAACTGGGAGTTAGGTTCTAAACTGGAACGGGGAGAGAGGCTGGGAAGCGTCCCCGCGGGGTCCCGAGGGGTATCGCGGGGACTGGGGACCCTGCACAGATGCGCCCCGCCCCCGCCAGACCCGCCTCCCGCGTCCCCACGTGGCCTTTTCGCGGCAAAAACCTTCCCTCTGGGTCCCGCCCCCCTCCTCTGATTGGACAGCGCGCCGAGCAAGGCGGGCCTACGGCGCGCGGATTGGCGCGCTGGGCCCCGAGGCGCGTTCCCATTGGCTGACCCCTCAGCATGGCGGCCCACGGGGAGACCGCGGCGGCTGTTTTGAACACGTGGAGGCTGTTTGGAAAGGGGACCCAGGGTACGGAGTCAGAGGCGCGCTCCTGCACGCCCTTCAGTCAGACCACCTTCCTCCCCCTTCACCACCCCAGCCCCGGCCCCACGCCGCGCCTCACCGCCGCATCTCCGCTCTCTTCAGCCACGGCCACCACGCCAGTCCCCAGGTCAGCCGGCTCGGGGCTGGGGGCGCGTCGCTTCCTGGCGGGGCTGGGGGAGAAGAAGGAGTAGAGCGTCTTCTGGCCGATCATCCCGGAGCCGAGGAGGCAGCGAATGCGCGCCGCCGGGGAACCCGCGAAGCTGGTCCTGGCTGTGGCGGTCAGCAATTGGCGCCAAGCGGCCCGCGCATGCTCCGAGCGGGGGGCTTTGCTGGGGGCGGGGGGCTGTGGAAGGCCCAGTGCGCATGTGCGGGGGGCTGCCTTGCAACGCCCCTGGGAGGAGGTGGGGCGTGCAACGGTGCCCCGGAGCCTATTATTTCATTAGCTTTGTGCCTTCGTCTCTACTCAGACCGTTGGGAAGTCTCTCCAGGCTCAGCTGCAAGAAAAAAAAGCCGGGCGCGGTGGCGCATGCTTGTAATCCTAGGGCTTTGGGAGGCCCTGGCGGGAGGATAGCTTGAGGCCAGAAGGTCGCAGCTGTAGTGAGCTTTGATCCGGCCATTGCACTCCAGCCTGGGCGACGGAGCGAGACCGTCTCTGGCGTGGCGTGGGGGGTTGGGGGAGAAAAGTACCTGCCCCTTAGGGGTGTTGTGGGAGTGCAATGAACAATATAATAGTACTGCCCAGGCTTGATGGCTCAAGCCTGTTATCCCAACACTGTAATCAGAGGCAGGTGGATCGCCTGAGGTCAGGAGTTCCAGACCAGCCTGACCAACAAGGTGAGACTTCGTCTCTACTAAAAATAGGAAAATTAGCCGTGCGTGGTGGCGCGCGCCTGTAATCCCAGCTACTTGGGAGGCTGAGGCTGGAGAATCCTTTGAACCCGGAAGGTGGAGGTTGCAGGGAGCCGAGATTGCGCCACTGCACTCCAGCCTGGGTGACAGAGTGAGACTCCATCTCAAAAACAAAACAAACACACAAAAGATATAATAGTATTTGTTGAACTGTTATATACATTATCTAATGGAATTTTCATGGCCTATTTTATGACGATAAACTAAGGCTTAGAGCAGTCAAACATTTTGCCTAATGTATCAGGCTTGTGGGAGACTTTTGGTTCATAGAGGTTAAACCCCAACGATTTATTCTCCAAATGACACCACTGTGCCTCCTCCCCACCACTACTAATACACTTAGGATTCTCTTTCCCTCCCTCACATCCAAACCATCCATATCTCCCTTTGGTTCTTTCTCCAAAACAAACCTCAAATTCAACTGCTGCTCTTGCATCTCCGGGCTACAGAAGACCAGCTGCGAAGTGTTCTCCTTTCTAGAGAGAGATTTTTTACATCATGACAATACCCGGGACCGGCCCAGTGCTATGGCTCACGTCTGTAATCCCAGCACTTTGGGAAGCCGAAGGGAGGAGCGTATCCCTTGAGCCCAGGAGTTTGAGACCAGCCTGGCCAACATGGCGAAAACCCATCTCTACTAAAAATACAAAAATTAGTCAGGAGTGGTGGCATGCACTTGTAATCCCAACTACTCCGGAGGCTGAAGCAGGAGAATCACTTGAACTCGGGAGGTGGAAGCTGCAGTGAGCTGAGATTGCACCACTGCACCCCAGCCTGGGCAACAGAGCAAGACCCTGTCTAAAAACAAACAAAAAGAAAAAAAAGACAATCTGTGGGTTAAAACCCTTCTATGCTTTCCAAATAGGCCTAGAATAAACCCCAGCTTCTTACCCAGCTCTCAATGCTGCTTCCTCTCTGATGGAAGCCCCCACTACTGAATCCACCTCCAGGCATATTTGCTGGACACACCCAGCTTGTCCCCCGGTGGCCTGCACACCCTCGCTCTCACCATGCCCTGGCCTGGAAAGCCTCAGGTCTCCGCTCAGGATCTTTCCCTGAAAAGGTCTTCTCCTGCCCCACTTTCTAGCCCATTGCTCTATAGCTGCTATACTAGACAAAAGCATCTTATTTATTTGCTTATTTTTTCTTTTTATACAAGTTCTTTTCTTTGTTTTTTTTTTAGAGATGGAGTCTCTCTCTGTCACCCAGGCTGCAGTGCAATGGCATAATCTCAGCTCACTGCAACCTCTGCCTACCGGGTTCTAGCAATTCTCCTGCCTTATCCTCCCAAGTAGCTGGGACTGCAGAGGCACACTGCTACAGCCAGCTAATATTTTGTATTTTAGCAGAGATCAGGTTTCACCATGTTGCCCAGGCTGGTCTCGAACTCCTGAGCTCAGGCAATCTACCCGCCTCAGCCTCCCAAAGTGCTGGGATTATAAATGTGAGCCACTGCGCCCGGCCTTTATACAATTTCTTTAGAGACAGCATATTATTTATTGTTTCCTCATGTGTTTCTGTCTCCATCTCCAGTTGTAACCTGAGTGAAGAAAGGAACTTGCTCCTTCTTGTTGCTGGTGTGTCCCAGTGCCTAGGACAAGGAGCTGAAGTCTAAGAAGGAAGAGAGGCTCAGAGCTGAAAATCATTTGCCCTCAGAGCCACTTTGAGAAAACAGTTCCACAGTTTTGTATGCAGGGAAGCATACACTTAGCATGTGACCCAGCACTCCCACACTTAGGTATTTACCCAAGGGAAATGCAAATATATATTCACACAAAAGCTTGTATGTGAATGTTTACAGGGGTTTTGCTCATAGTAGCCTAAAACCAGTGAACAACCCCAATATGGGACCCACTCCCATGGGGCACCCCGACTATACCAGTAATAGAAAGGAACAAACAAGTGGGTATACAGCTGGGCACAGTGGCTCATGACTGTAATCCCAGCACTTTGGGAGGCCAAGGCAGGGAGATTGCTTCAGCTCACCAGCTGAAGACGAGGCAGATCAGCCTGGGCAATGTGGCAAAACCCCATCTCTACAAAAAACACAGAAATTAGCTCGGTATAGTGGTGCATGTCTGTAGATCCAGCTGCTTGGGAGGCTGAGGTGAGAGGATCACTTGAGCCTGGGAAGTGGAGGTTGCAGTGAGCTGAGATCATGCTACTGTACTCCATCCTGAGCAATAGAGCCAGATCTTGTCTAAAAAAAAAAAAAAAAAAAAGGTAAATAAATCTTAAAAGCAATATGCTTAAGTGAAAGAAGTCACACAAATACTATATATATTTTAGGATTCCTGTCTCAGTCTGTTTTCTGTTTCTTAGAATACCTGAAACCAGGTAATTTACTGACAAAAGGAATGTATTTCTCATAGAGACTGAGAGGGCTGAGGTTGAGGGATTGCATCTGGTGAAAACCTTCTTGCTGGTGGAGACCCTGGAGCCGTGCAGGGCATCGCATTGCAAGGGGCCTGGGTGTGCTAGCTCAGGTCTCTTTTTCCTTTTATAAAGCCACCAGTCCTACTCCCGTGGTAACCCATTCATCTATGAATTCATTGATTGGGACAGAGCCCTTGTGTCCCAATCACGTCTTAAAGGTCCCACCTCTCAATAGTGCCACATTGGGGATTAAATTTCAGCATGGATTTTGGAAGGACAAATATTCAAACCATAGCAGTTCCACATGTATGAAATTCTGGAAAAGGCAAAACCATAGGGAGAAGACAGATCAGTGGTTGCTGACGCTGGGTGAGGGGGCAAGCCGATGAGAGGCCGGAGCGGTTTTATGGAGGGATGGAACTGTCCTAGATCTTGATTGTGGTGGTGATCATACAATACTTACATTTGTCAGAACCTGTCAGAACAAAGCCTCCAATCTCACGGAGCTTACATTCCATTGAGGGACGAGAGGGGGAGAGACAGAGAGTAAGTACAAATTAGGAGCCGGTCGTGGTGGCTCACGCTTGTAATCCCAACAATTTGGGAGGCCCAGGTGGGAGGATCACTTGAGACCAGGAGTTTAAAACCAGCCTGGGCAACATAGCAAGACCCCATCTGTACTTTAAAAAAAAAAAAAAAAATTAGCTGGGTGGGGTGGGGTGTGCCTGTAGTCCCAGCTACTCCAGAGGCTGAGACGGGAGGATCGCTTGAACCCAGGAGCTCAAGGCTGCAGTGAGCCATGATCACGCCATTGCATTCCAGCTTGGGCCACAGAGTGAGATCCTGTTTCAAAAAAAAAAAAAAAACAAAACAAAAGAACAACAACAAAAAACAAGAAGCCAAAAAGCAGGAGCCATAATGGAACCAACGTTTGTTGAGAGGTCGGCGCATCCTGCCGCCGCCTCAGGCGCTCTCGTGACACGGGTGCTGCCGCTGCCACTCACAGGTGAGGCAGCTCCACCCGAGGGGAGCCGAGCTGTGGGGGCCCGCACAGCCAGGGCGGAGGGGATGGAGATGGAAGCCACGATGGCCGACTGCAGAACTCGTGCTCCCACTCGCGACAATATACAGGTGGCCCGACGTTCTTTCCGGACACTAAAGGAACCCCCAGAAAGACCTGACACCAAACCACAGCTGTCACTTCAGCGGTGATCCTCAGCCGTGGCCGAACAGACCGATGATCAACCGGAACGCGGCAGCGCTTGCCACGCACAGGGAGGGCCGGCAGGTGGCGCCAGAGGGCCGCCTGGCTGCTCGCTTCGAGCCCTTGCCTGCCGTTCCCAGCGCGCTCCGGAAATGACGCAGCCGATTCGCGGGGTCGCGTCTTTCCCGCCCCCAGTGGTTTGTGGGATTGCGAGTTGCGCAGGGGCTGAGTTTCTACAACACTCTCGCAACCTCCACCCCACGCACGTGTTGCAGTAGTATCAGAATTTGGCGTGCGGTTTACCCGTGTTTACCGCTTTGCGTCTCCTTTCTAAATCGTCTCCGTTTGAGCATTACGAGGCTGACCTATTATAACACTGGTGGGGGGGCCGCGAGGTCAGTTACAGGTCCCTCCTTAAAAGGGGTAACCTGTTGACTTTGGGCAAATTCCTTTCCTTCTCTGGGCAGGAATTTCCCCTTCTGCAAAATGAGGGCTTGGATTGTAGTTTCTAAGTTTAACTGTGGCTTGCAAATTCCCGGGGTGTTCTTTAACAATTCAGGTGCTTGGGCGTGGAGTGCAGAGCTCCGGGTTTCTGCAAGCAAGCCAGCTGATTCTGATGCACAGGTGGACGTGGGAGACCCTGGATCAGATTGTCCCGAGGGTCCGGCTTTAACATCTTCTGCTTCCTTTCTAGGACGTGGTTTTAAACTTGAAAATGAAAACGTAGAACTAGGAATGTTGCTGTGAGACCCCTTGGACAAACTGATTTTTGCACGGAGGACAGAACTTGAGCAATCTCTGTCTTGGCCTTACC